TTTAAAGGGGAGATAACACACACAGTTTCACCCAATCTCATGTTAATCTTGAGTACCTATAGAGTAGTACTGCATCCTTCATATCTCCAAAAAGTCTTTAGTTTTATCATATTTATAAAAGAAAGATACAGCTTTACGATTCTCTCCGGAAAAAGCCGAGCTCCTGGAGGCGCGCCGTGGGCGAAGCTAAAGAGTGACGAGCACTTGAGCTCCGACTGCCAACAAAATACAGACATTTGATGCAGTTTCACTTACCGTCTAAATTTCTGAATCATGACCGGGATCTTTTATAGCTCGACCGCTCCATCCTTCAGTATCAAACGATGTGCTAATCCAGCGTCGAACTGGGCCTTGCTTATAAAACGTTCCTCAACAAACACTTGTGAAATTTCGTTGCTGCTCCGGAAAAACAAACTGCATCCACTGTTTACATAACATTGGGTTCTTTAGGAAGCTGAACAAAGTTATCTTTCCAAAAACACACTTCTTTGGACTCGGAGACATTCTTCCCGAGCGAGTCCCGTGCAGCGCTGCCGTCTGATGAAGCGTTTTGATGGGCGCGATCTCTGTCTGCCTCTGGTCGATGCGTGCGCGGGCGCGCTCTTCCGGAAGAAATGCCCATATAAGGAGTTCCACCCTCGTCTACGTCATGAAGAGCCACGATCGAAAAAAACTCTCCGAAACTTGTACGAACCAGGAAGTAAGATTTTTAGCACAGAAATACTCCATCATACGTCCAAATTGTTTTCTGAAATTTTGTTAGTTTTTCTGTCTGTGTTCATCTGGTTTAATTTATAAATTATCTTGTGCCACATTATTTTTTAAACATCTATTGGCTTATATTTACAGAGTAACTTTAAAGGTGGGGTACGCGATTTCTGGTAGCCAATGTTGACATTTGAAATCACCAAAACAAACACGCCCCTACACCAAAAGTTTTCTAAAGCGTTTTTGAAAAATCGCTTACCCCACCTTTAACTCAGGCATTATCACTCGACCAAGAGTGTTTTTGTCCCGAATTTTCAGGCGTTTGTGAGTGTAATATTGATTTCATACAACAGTGCCAGCACAATAAACGAACAGTTAATATTGCGCAGCTTACATTTTAGACACAATGTTGCCAGTAACCTTTCTGTTTCGGCTCTGCCAACGAATATCATTCCAAACCAAACAACAAAAGAAAGCATCTGCGTATTGTTTTGCTCCTGAATGAATCTGTGTTTTTGAACGAATCCATTGACAATGACTCACTCGTATAAAATGTAATCACTTGCCTATTGGCTAAACCATTTAAGCGTCACTAAAATGGTCTTGGTACACCACGCACAAAGCAAGTCAAATTCAAATACTGAAACGAATTATTGTATGATAAAAATATTTTTACACACTTTTGTGTGTGTGGACTACATATAAGTAATTTTTTTGTTAACATCCCTCAGGGTGACTCTGGCGGTCCCCTGAACTGTACTCTGTCGGTGTCTGGGAGGTGCATGGTATTGCCAGCTTCGTCTCTGGTTTGGGCTGCAACACTGTGAAGAAGCCAACTGTTTTCACCCGTGTGTCCGCTTTCAATGACTGGATCGACAAGGTACACCATGATGCTTTAACAGAAGTAATGTATTCCCAACACATAGAGTTTAGATACTAATACAGCTCTTTAAGTTCTAAGGCCATTCTGTTTAACAAATCCCTGAGCTTTGGAAATGACCTAAAGAATATTAGAGAGACTGGCATGTGATGAATTATACATATAAATAACTAATTATATATGCAGAATAGGTTTTTCATTCCTTTTTCTCTTTGTTTATTTAAGGTCATGATGAACAATTAAGATGAACCAAGGATGCCAACCTTTTTTTAACACCAGAAAACCAACTCTCCAAGAAAAAAGTAAATAAATACATACTGGCTCAACAAGGGATCAACTACTTCCATCATTTTTTTCCTTTTTCACTCTCCCACACTGCTGCAATACAAACTGCCAAATGTTTGCCAGAATATTAATCTAAACGGCAATTAACTGAATGAAAGCATCTCCCAATGAAGTACCTGAGAGTTTCTATGTTGCACCCATATGTCAAACATGATGAATGCAGCAGATCGGAATGTCAGATATGGTATTTAAAAGATTACAGTACCTCAGAAAACAATAGATCATTTGGCCAAAGGAGGTGAGGCTATCTATAATCGCTTCCCACTCAAGTGTAGGAGGAAGGGATGATAATCATGACCTGCTGACATGCAACAATATCATGTGAAAACAGCACATGGATGATGAGGGATCTGTGGTTTTAAGTGAAGATGTGTGTTTATCATTGCCAAATTCTCAAACATAATTGAAAGATAATGTTAAGTGACTATCAGTGGTAAAATTTAGAACCACAGATGTTGAGGGAAACTGATCAGATTATTGCTTTTGAGAGTGTCTTATTCATGAATGTGGTTCAAAAATCTTTGCATGAATGCTTCTGTACCTGGGTTTTGCTCCACATGAGACTTGGGAAATGGTAAATTCTGAAATTCAGAAAGTGTTTATGTGTGCAAGAATGTTTTTGGGAAGAGTAAGGAGAGCAAGGATTGCCTGTTGGCTGTTTTGTGACATGGGGTGTGAAAATGCATCTTCACAGTTATTTCTCATCCCTGGTTTTTCTACAAGGCAAATTACAGGAAACTCTTTGCTTCTCAAAGAGCCTGACATTCTGAGGGTGAAGCATCTCTCTTTCTCTGCTGCTGCTTTCCGTACTCCTAATGGCTCCATGGGGACTCCTGATGGCTCCTGACTTGTTAGTGGTAAACCATAAAAAAAAAAAAAACATTTAATAGCTGCTCTAAACTGCATTCTTCAGCACAAATGTGTTTAATACTGTATTATATCTTTAAAGGAGCACCAAAACATATTTATGGTTCTTGTTCATGTCATAATAAATAAAATATATGTACTTATATAAAATCTTCCACAATATTACATACACACAGGACTGTAACCACCATAGATATACATTCCCCAAAAATTCAGATTAGTTCTCCATCAATATGGGTTTTTCAGAGTCTTATTTCTCAGCTTACATTTATTTAGTCCTCCATATAGCCCATGGTTCTAAACTGGGGGTCAAGACCCACTCAATAAACTTTCAAGGGGCCTTTTAAAAAAGTTTTCTAAATCAATACGTTTTTTTAATAATAACTTAAGCGCTATTTGCACTCTATACATTAACTCATCTGGAACACGCTTATGACATCAAGAAAACAGCTTTTGTTTTGTATGGATTTTGGTTGTTTTCCTTCTTTTAAAATAATCACTGTATCACTGCATTTTTACTTTCTTCATTAAAGGGGTCATATGATGCGATTTCAAGTTTTCCTTTCTCTTTGGAGTGTTACAAGCTGATTGTGCATAGATAAGATCCCTGAAGTTGCAAAGACTAAAGTCTCAAAACCAAAGAGATATTCATAATTCTTTGAATCAACAACGCTAGTACTGTAGGCTACTGTAAGGAAAAGTTATAGCCTGTCTATGAGGACTTTGAATTGATTTGATTAGAATAGTTGGTTGCATCTTTTAATATACACAGGCACATTTGTAAAGCTGACCAAAATGAATTATCTTTAAAGCAGTTGTTTTCCAGACACACTGTGGCACAGGCTGCGCCTGCCTTCCAGACAGTGCGAGGACATGCACGTCGTCTGGGACGCTCGTGTTGCTATTGGTTTGCAGAGTTTAACGTTTGTTTTCGTTCTCAGGACAACACAATGACAACCACGCCTACAGTCACTGACTGCGGGGAGACTGAGCTCTAGGTTCCGAATAACGCCACAACATCTGCATATTAGCTACACTCGAAAAGTAAATATTACGTAAGCAAATGTCACTGGTGAGATCTCTCAGTAGCTGACGCTTCAAATCAACCTGATTCTTTGGGTGCTGAACGCGCGCAGCCACGGACCCGTCTGTGTCTACGTCTCTGTTTGGCGAAAACTTTTTGATCCGACTGCACATCCGACCTTAACTTGATTCATATAATCGGTCGACATCAGAAGTGCTTGAAAATATGTAAAAGATGCGGGTAAGTTCACTTTGCAAAAGCAGCATCGCCATAACAGCAGAGTTTACGCTCGGGATGAAATGAAAGACTGCAGCTTGACGCGAGGCGGCTCGCATCGTATTGTTTTAAATGGAGAGCACCATCTTCACATCTTATAAACAGGCAAGTTCATCGTTTCGTAGTGTTTATTGCTTGAATATGATGTAAAGACTTAGATAACCATTTTCTCAATCAGTTGAATGTGGTCTTATCTGCTGTATTTAGTATTCTGCAGCAGCAGTCAGCTGTGGTGCTGCCACACAGTAGTGTGGGACAGACAAGTGTTTCATTGTTCCCCTCATGTTTCATTTAGGGGGGTAGGGCTGTTTTTCTCAGTCAAACTAGTACTAGTAGACTACTTCAACTAGTTGTTTTGAAATATGTCCTATTTCTAAAAAAGAAAAACAACAATAATGTACACTATTTACTTTAATGACCACATTCTAGCACAATTTGAGTAGACCTAATAGATGTATATTAAAATGACAGAAGTGGTCTCAGACTGCATTGTTGCAACTTCTTGTCACTAAGCAGCTATTTTGTTTTATCATGATTACTGTAATGCTTTAAACACCTGGCAACAACTTTGCGTTTTCCCTCCAAATAGCTGTAGATCAGATGCTCAAAGATATCTTGGCCTTGTGAACATATGAATGTTGTTTCATCTGGAACAAAAGCACAGGCATATATAAATACTGCCCACAATAAAATATGTTCTATGTATCTTTCTTTGTTTGCATTTCAAAGCAAACTGACAAAACCTTTTGTATTTGTGGGTGGTTTTATTTGAGCTGTTTATGTTAACTTTTCACCTCTCTCAACTGTCATCATTAAAACTTATTTTCCATCCATCTATTCTCCAAACTGCCTTTTCTATGTAGGGTTGCAGGGAACATTAGCAATTTACTTTGTTATTCTTTATTTATAGTGCTATATTAAAACAAAGTAAAATAAGAAACAATCAGGTAAATAATAAACAATAAAATTATACACAAATTTTGTTTGTAAAAATATTCCTTGGATCCACAACTGTTATCAGATGCCTAATGTTCATGTTGGACTGTGGCTCATCGATTTCCACTCAGCTCATTATTGATTAAAAAGTCACTGATTGTGACTAGCTTGGTTTAAAGGGGTCATATGATGCAATAAAAAATTTTCCCTTCTCTTTGGAGTGTTACAAGCTCTTGGTGCATAAAGAAGATCTGTAAAGTTGCAAAGACTAAAGTCTCAAATCCAAAGAGATATTCTTTATAAAAGTTAAGAGTCAGCCACGCCTACCTAAAACGGCTCGTTCTAACACGCCCCCACATGTCTACGTCACGATGTGGGAAGATTTGCATAACACCGCCCAAATGTTCACGCAAAGAAAGAAGGAGTAACTTTTATTCTCGGCCGCCGGCCACCGCTCACTCAAGCCCGACAGCCATTCCTCACTCTAGCCCACCGGCCTCCGCTCACTCAAGCCCGCCATGTGTGACTCTGTGGACAGCATCACATTATGGTAAGGGGCGCAACATTTCCGTCACACACTTGAGGTATTCGGCCAATCACAACGCACTGGATAGCTGGCCAATCAGAGCACACCTCGCTTTTCAGACCAATGAGCTTTGTAAAAATCGACGCGTTTCAGAAAGGCGGGGCATAGAGAAGAAACAATAATGTACAGTATGTGGAAAATAATGTTTTTTGAACCTTAAACCGCATAAACACATTTCATTACACCAAATACACAAAATATTGTTCTTTTTAGCAACATCATATGACCCCTTTAACTACAGTATACATGTAAATCAAAGTGCAGTTTACATTTTCAGACCTATATATATATAACACCAGTGGGACCCTTTTCCCAAGATGAGAGCAGAGATCTTACATTATGTCCTCGTTACTCCGAACCCTTGAAAACTGTAGGAGGAACATGGTGTTCACTCCATTTAAAGTGCAATAAGACTGGGTTAAATTCTCCATTTTGTTTAGTAGAATAACATTGGCCTAAACTTGTGGTCTAATTTTGAGCAGATTCTTTCTTTCTCAGCCAAAGAAATAGAAAGAATTTCACAAAGAGTGAACAAGAGGCATCATTTGTCTTCAAATTTTCTGTGCAATCTTTAGTCTTCGGTTCATTTGTTTTTCTCATAACTTGAAGCCTGAGCTCCCTACTGTGGCAGTGAAAGAGAGAGAAAGAGAGAGAGATTGATGCTCTTCAGTCTTACCCATGTGTTGTCTCACTTCAAGCTCGGTAATAACTGCTGTCTGCCGGGGCTCTTAACTTGAGGACGATGAGAGTGGAATCGCTCTGGATTGACCCTCCAACAGTAGTTTGAGCTCTGAAAAGAGACCTGACCTTATGATAGAGAAAACAACTGGAGATGAGGTTAGAAACTGATTCACCATGATGAACAGTCTTGTTGTAGATACTAGATACACAGACTTTAGGTAGAGGACAAACTCATAAAATTGGTAAATCACTCTGGGTGCCAAACTTATATCTTTTCCAAAAAATGTGTCTGTGAGAGGAAATGGGTTTGAGGGCATTTGTGAGCTGCACATCATTCATCACATTTTTATTTAAAAATGTACTTGGCAGCACTGCAAAATGTCAATGTTTTGTCACATTGTTATCATTAAAGCAAAGAGAGAAACTAAATACTATGACAAGTTTTCATTCAAACTGAAACGCTGACAATATAATTTGTAATAAATATGTTTATTACAAATGCAAAACATTTTCACTAGTGGTCTCGTGACCTTTGGATCCCACTGTATGTATATGTTTTCTTTAGAAGTGAGTAAATTAATGACCTTTAAATCTCCATAAACATACATTGTTGCATTAAGAAAATATTGTTGTCTTTGTTTTTCAGGAATCATTCAGAGGCTGAGGCCGTTTCCTTTTGGATCTGGCTACATAAACAAGACAGTCAGCCTTTGTAGAGATGCAAACCTTTGATCAGTAGATCACTCTTACTCACTGAAGGACCAGATGGTGTTGCTGGCTCTGTCAAGAATCATGAAAAATGGCAGCAGAAATGGAAGCATGGTAAGCTATTGTGATGAACTGTGATTTCATGTGTCTTCCCTAAACTTGAACATCAGATTCTTGAGGTCAACTCACCATGGAGACAGAACTAAGAGCTGGACTGTCCGCAGCTGCCATAGTGGCTATTGTGTGTAACACAGTAGTAGCTGTGCTTATTCTCATTCTCTTTGTCATACTCTACAAGGCCTGCAAAATTCCCTCCTCTCCGGAGAGGGCCCAGTGCTGGCAGAGACTCAAGAGCCACAGAGAACTGAACAAAAATACTTATTAACTGCAGCTTGAAATTGAGAAAAAAAATAAAAAAATAAATAAAATGAATATATTCACAGGGGCTGCTGGAGGAATATTTTAATAGTCACCTTTGATGATGGCCCTGTGTAAATGTGAAATGCACATATAATGTACAAGTTCTTACATGAATATTTTTTGAAAAACCACATCATTGGCAGGACTATGGAATTTACCTAATTTTTTTTTTGTTAAAGAAGATCACACTTTAGTAGCCTGTGATGTTTGTTCAGCATTAAATGTTGCTCATCAAACATCTAAAATATCTGATTGACTTGTGGTTTTACTTTGTTGCATTTTTTTTCTTTTCTTCAAAATCTTTTGCATTTTGAATCATTAGAATTCTCTTAGCTGACTCTATGGCAAATCTGTCATAAATCAAGCTATTGTCATTTGGTGCTAGACTCATGTTTTTGTTAATGCAGAGCTTGTGTTTAGAAGAAGGCATTGCATCTCACTATTTTAACATTTTATACTAATACAAAATAGAAATAGAAAAAATGGAACCTCATTCATAATTTATTTTTGTGTTTGAGTTTTGAACCAAAGTTATAGATCATGCACATTGAAATAAATGGATGATGCATGAGATATATTAAAAACAAAGTCCATTTAACACCAACTTTTCTTTGTTTAAGCTTGTATCTTGCACTAGCCTTGCACTTGTGTGTTTGTTGATGATTTGCAACTGGAGGATCATTACGTAAAACACCAAAGCCTCTTATGTATTTTACTGTGCTTGGACACAGTCCATCTGTTAGTCTAATTATTGCTCTTCGTAGGACATCTAGTCACTTTGTGCTGGTCTTAGATCAGTTCCTTGTTCTCTAACCCAACCGTAACTAACAAAAAGTTCTATTTTTTCCGGCAAAGGGCCATGTGTGCTGATGATCTCCAGTTCAAGTTATAGCTCTCATCAAAGATACATAATTTACCAAGCAAACAAGGAAAGTTTTGTTTGAAGAAACAGAGTGGGAAAAGTAGGAGATAGAGACTGTGAGGAAAGGGAAAATATTAAAGTGTAATTTGAGCATGTTTACTGTATGTTGCCTGAAACCCCACAGGGCATCAATAGTGAGCACCGACATTGGGCTTACGCTATTGTTTATAGGTCAGTAGGGGGAAAATAATGAACTGTACAAACAGGTTTCGGCATGCAGGTGTTAAGGAAGGTTTTCTATCCACTAAGACTCTACAGCATTACATCTCAGTCCTGATAGGATTATGAGTCACTTCAGGAGGGCATAAGAGCTCAGCCATGTGAAAGGTTACTGGTCAAATTTACCATGATTATAACAAGCACAGCACACCAAGTGTTTTTTACTCTGTCACAATGTCAGAATAAAGCATGGCAAAAACTTGTCAGTGAAGCAATGTCCTCAAAAGTGCACCTTTAAGAGGTATCAAATAGTGTCAGTTTAACTGAATAATATTTGTCTATAGATATGTCTATAGTGTCTGTCAGCAAAAGCCTATTTATAAGTGATAATCAAAGGTTACCAAATGGTTTTTGAGATTTTTGTCCTTGGATATCTTCACTGTAAATAGTTTGACATGACTGCAGATCGTATATAAACGTACAAGTTTAAATGGCATGATTTAAAAGCAAAATTGAGTTGTTGCATTTAATATAATATGTAATGTACAATAACTATTCATTACCTATGTTTTGTTTGCAATGCACACTTACTTGGCGAAACAGAAATAGAAATCGAATCAATTTTATGTAGTAGCTCTAATGCTTTTCTCAAGTTGTTTAACAAACATTCTCAATGTATTTTTATGATTTCAACATGAAATGGAGTTTTTTTCTACCTGCAATTTGTCCTTCTTTTTGTTGTTACAGAAAGATTTGTTTGAGGGGAAAAACTAGTAATGACACATAGTAGTTTTAGAATTGCTTTGCCCTGAGGTGGAGTACAGAGAACAAAGTGAAGAATTACATAACATTACGGGCCACTGGAATAAAATCCAGACTACTAATAAACCATAATCTGCATTCCCATCTGTGAGGATGTCATGGTTGCATATATTTTGCTGAGGACCAGTGAAACACACATACATTCCCCTCAGAATTAGAGAATGTCTTTATGTGTCCACACTCAGGCTGAGATTTTTTTTATACAGAGTCTTATCACAGCTGTTTATATGGGGTTTCACATGGACAATTTGTATGGGTAACCTCTTAACCCCTTAGAGAGGTTATCAAAGAGATCGTAAAATCCAAATATGAACTCTCACAACAGCAACCATTGCTCATTTTCTTTTTCCAGTATTGTGTGGAATGTTCTTATCTCAGTTATTGCATCTTTTCTTAACCTATAATATTTCTACAGCTAGCTCAATAACTGCAATCAATGATCTCATTTTGTATGCTCAATAACAATCGGAACTCCATCACATTTATCATAGTTTTAGTTAAGCCGATCTAACCAATGCTTCCATTATTATATTGAATAACTGAAATATGAAACATTTGATAACACTGTTTTATATATTCAGGAATGCTTTTAAAACGTACATTTAATCCTGTTGCATGAAGATGCAACATTTACTGTAATTTTGTAATTTTACATGACTTGATGTTAGTCAGTAATATATCAGTAGGCCTATAATGCTGAGTCTGACATTAATGCCACAGCGGAATGATCATTTTCATATTGCTCATAACCTTTGCCAGGCTGGTAATGTGACTAATTTCTGAAATAATCTTCAGTAAAATAATTTTTGATTGTTTTTTATGCTTTGTTGGTCAGCGCCATCTACTGGCCAATACGTTTATTTCCACGATTATATTCAGGAATATAATGGGAAAATACAGTTCAGCATTAAAATAGAGTTTATGGATATTACATAAGCTCTGCTTTTATTTATTTATTTATTTTTTGCTAGGTTTGTTAACATTTAAATTAATTTAATTTCTAGTCAGTGCTCGATTAAAAGTAGCCAGTTTATGTTGAGTTGGGATTAAAAATAATTGTTAGAAAAGAGGAAAAAATAATTCATTTGGGAGTGCCTTTATCACTAGAAATTGTAATTTTTATGTACCTTGTTCTGAGAAAAACTAAAGAGGAGAACAAACCCAGTCTAAAATGAGGGGGTGTCCTGACCTGAGAAACCTATGGAGGTTAAACAGGGCAGGACAACAGACATTTCCAAAAAAAAAAAAAAGCCAAATATTAGACTAGCTAACATTGCCTGTTTATTATATTCTAACATTGTCTGTTTTTCAGCTTGCTCCCATACAGGCCTTACAGGCAGTTTTATTAAGGTTACCATCCAGAAGCTGTCCAGGGTCCTGAAGTCATTTGCCCTGTGCTTGGTATTTGACAGGTGCATAAAGCACGGCCCACCTCTTTCAATACTGTAAACATGCAAATAGACACTGTTCCTCAAATCCCGTTATTAAAAACATCTTTGTTTGCATTCACTAGATTCCAATTCCTAACCGCCATCCCTGATCACAGGTTCGACATGGACTGCAAAAGACACACAAAATCTTGCCATCTCGAGGTTATACACACACCGAGATAACCCTGCACGATGTCTGTGTCTGATGCTAGTCTTGGGTGGAGCAGACATCGCTCGATGGCGTTGCGTGGGGCGGAATCCGTGGTGCTGCTCGCGTCTCCAGACTCGTTTCTCCCGGAAGTGGGTGGTTAAGTCGCCACTCGGTCACTGCTGGCTAACGAGCGATCGCTGGGATGAAGGAGAGTCGGGGACATTCTTGGGGCTGACAAATATCTGACGACAAAGCTGTGAAATTTCATTTTTTTAAACAATTAGTTGCGGTATATCCGCAGAAATCCACCACAAACGCTCACAAAAAGGCTCAGACACCCCGCCGCCAAGATGATGGAAGAAATTGACAGATTTCAAGTGCCGACCGAGGCAGAGATGCAGCCTTTTGTAAGTTAAACCAAACTGACTCTTTAGCAACCGATTAAATCACAAATGTTGTCAGTATGCGGTTTTAATAACGTTTTGATGAGCGAACGGTAGTTCAATATGAACCAAAGACACATGGAATATTTCATTAGTCTCGTGTTGTGTCATCACAGACCGTCATTTTTTATAAAAAATGGCAAATATCTTATATTACGAGAGATCGATAATGGCGCTTCTATGTCTGCTGTATTTTTTTGCTAGCTAATGTAAGGATGCTACTGTGATGATGCGCACTGAGACTGTGTGTCTCCCTGCATCGAAAACAACATCTGCTTCGTTTTATTTTATAATACAAGCTTAACCTTCAGCTTAACTTGTTCTTATATTTATTCGAACTTCCATCGTAACGCGGTCTGCAACGTTCATTTGAAATACTGTTAATATTACGTGATGTTTCATCAATCTTGTAGAGGCCTTTACCGCCTTAGATTGCTTCATCATGCAGAATACGTGCTAAGGTACCTGAATAATATCCATACCCCTCCCACCCATGACAGATTCATCAATAATTCTCAGGAAAATATCCAGCTCTGCTCGAAGAGACATCTGGATGGCCCATATTTAACCCATGACCTGTACAGCAGCTGTCAGTGTACCTCTGGTTAGTTATAGATCAGTGGTTCTAATCAGTTTTTGCTTCAGGACCCAGATTTTACATTGGTCATCAAGAGAAGACCCAGCACAATACCCAAACTGTTTATCATAGAGACGTAAACAACTGTACGTCAGACTGGAAATTAAAATTATTTATATTAACTGCATAGGCCTAATAATATGCATATGTATTCATGCAACAGACTAAATAGTAAAATTCTAAATGTAAAATTCAGATCTGTCACGCTTTCTCTATTCACAACATAAAATATATTATGGCTGGAAATGAATCATATATAAATTAAAGGGGTCATATGATGTTGCTAAAAAGAACCTTATTTTGTGTATTTGGTGTAATGAAATGTGTTTATGCGGTTAAAGGTTAAAAAAACACATTATTTTCCACATACTGTACATTATTGTTTCTTCTCTATGCCCCGCCTTTCTGAAACGCGTCTATGTGGGGGCGTGTTAGAACGAGCCGTTTTAGGTAGGCGTGGTTGACTCTTAACTTTTATAAAGAATATCTCTTTGGATTTGAGACTTTAGTCTTTGCAACTTTACAGATCTTCTTTATGCACCAAGAGCTTGTAACACTCCAAAGAGAAAGGAAAAATTGAAATTGCATCATATATTTAAAGGTTAAGTATGCAGTTTTTGCTAACCTGTCGAGAAGTAGGCCTTACTCTGCAAGTTCAGCGCCTCTATTGAAACCATACTATCAAAATCCTCCATCTTGTAAAAGAGCCACCCACCAGTGTTTACCGTTGTTTTACCCCTTTGTTTTGGCAAGTCTTCGAATAGTCTTCGAACTTTGGCTTGCACTTTCTGTAACCGAATCTGAATATTATTATAGATTAAACGCATCAGTCACGGTCTCACACACACTAAAGTAAACACCCCCTGGCTCAGCCTGCTACAGTAGCCACGTCCCAAACTCTCGCTATTGGTTGAACTGGAAAGAGATTGACAGATCTGAATGGACTGCTCTAAATGTTTATAGGGTTAGTTCACCCAAAAATCTAAATTCTGTCAGTAATTACTCACCCTCATGTCGTTCCAAACCCGTAAGACCTTCGTTCATCTTCGGAACACAAATTAAGATATTTTTGATGGAATCTGAGAGCTTTCTGACCCTCCTAGAGAGCAATGATATTACCACGATCAACGCACAGAAACGTAGCAAGGACATGGGTAAAATAGTCCATGTGACATCAGGGGTTCAACCGTAATTGTACGAAGCTACGAGAATACTATATGTGCGCAAAGAAAACAATAATAGCATAATTTATTCAGCAATTCTTCTCCCCGAGTTACCGTCTTCCGCCATTTTCTTCTTCTTCTTCTTCTTTGGAATTTTTGTCGTATTCCGCACCATAGGCACACACTTCCTCCATTTTGGAGAGTACCCCGGAACACAATCAACGTAATCAGCCTTGTTTATGTTCAGCATGCGCGCGCTTTATCTTGAACATAAGACGGTAACTCTGGGAAAAGAATTGCTGAATAAATTATGTTATTATTGTTTTCTTTGCGCACATATAGTATTCTCGTAGCTTCGTAAAATTATGGTTGAACCCCTGATGTCACATGGACTATTTTACCCATGTCCTTGCTACGTTTCTGTGCGTTGATCGTGGTAATATCATTGCTCTCTAGGAGGGTCAGAAAGCTCTCAGATTCCATCAAAAATATCTCATTTGTGTTCCGAAGATGAACGAAGGTCTTACGGGTTTGCAACGACATGAGGGTGAGCAATTAATGACAGAATTTTCTTTTTAGGGTGGAGTAACCCTTTAATGGTGCCTGGGAATGTTTACTCTTTTTTTGGGTGCTAAACCCACGAATGAACAATACACTGGGTTAAGAAAATCTATTTTAATATATAAAAAAATTCTTTAAGGTACCAATACCAATTGAAGTACCATTTGTTTGGTTGTGACACACTGATTTGGTGTATATTATATTATATTATATTATATATATATATATATATATTATGATGAACAATACAATATGTACCGTTTTTGCGCTCAGTGTATCAAAATGTGTTGCACTGCACCTATATTTTTTCATCCTATTTCCACTTTGAATAGATTTAGGCTTTTGAAATTTCGAAATGATTTGCCACAATTCTTGGCCTGTTCCATATTTGAAGTTGGCAAATTGCTCTCTTTGCTTCTGAAAATGTTGAGTTTCCTTTCACATTAATCCCAGGATGTCATAATGAGCTGGGAGAAATCAAACTAAAAAAAGTAAAGCTTTGTTCATCCACATTGATCAAAATGGACAGAGCAAGGCTCTTGTCAAGAAGAACAGACATCAAATAAAATTGACTTAATCGATAAAACTAGACTGCCTTGACACTTCATTCTTTTTTTCCCCTTTCCCAGCAGGATCCAGCATCATCAACTACATCAGAGACAGACTCAGATACCAGGGAGAGTGAACCTGCCACCCTCAACTATAAACCTTCTCCTCTCCATATGAAGATAGGTGAGTTGTGGGATTGTTTTTATCGCCAAATGCCAATGCTATGTTTTTATTTAAAGCACTTTTTGCAATTGTGTGTTGTTTCTATGACATGGTTAAAATATAAACATGTCTAATATTGTTTTTTTTGCTCTGTAAAGACAAACAGAGAGAGTTGGTTAGGAAAGGATCACTGAAAAATGGCAATGTTGGAAGCCCTGTCAATCAGCAACCCAAGAAAAATAATGTGATGGCCAGAACAAGGTACAAACAAGAGAAAATGATCACAGTCTTCACTGTATACATAGTCTGTTTTATTTTAAAAACCTATCTCTATTTCTCTTACCATCCAGGCTAGTGGTTCCCAATAAAGGCTACTCTTCTTTAGACCAGAGTCCAGATGAGAAACCTTTAGTTGCTCTAGACACAGACAGGTGCGCTCTTCACTCATCCTTTACTGACTGATTTACGCCCCCATTGGCCCCAGGCCTCACTGTTTTCACTTGCCTTACAGCGATGACGACTTTGACATGTCTAGATATTCCTCGTCAGGATACTCGTCAGCCGAGGTGAGGTCTCTAAGGGAACAGGTACCTATGAACTCTGGTTAATGTCCTAAGCCCCATACCACAAGCATCATGACAATAGATTTCCTTCTCAAATGTCACTCACAATCTTGTATGCTCTAAATTCCCTTTTGTCTTAAATGTCTCTCTTTTGTTTTCCTTTAAAGGAAATAGCTCACCCAAAACGAACATTTCTAAACATTTACTTGCCCTCAGGCCACCCAAGGTGTGGATGAGTGTGTTTCTTCATCTGAGAAATTTAGCGTTACATCACTTGCTTACTAATGGATCCTCTGCAGTGAATGGGTGTTCAAACAGCCGATGAAAACATCACAAGTAATCCGTTAAGATCTTGTGAAAAGCTGCATGTTTTAAATACACTAACTCAGCATTAAGATGTTTTTAATGTCAAACCATTGCTTCCAGCTAAAATACAAGTCCTCTATCAATAATATTGCTTTGTCTAAGTCATCTTGTCTGAAGCAGGAAAAAGTATGCACACATCAAGCACCATTTGCAAGCAAAACAGTCCAAAACAATTCCAAACAAATATAACAATTCCACAACAATATTTTGGCCATAAACTATGGTTTAAATAATGAATTTGTTTATTACAGACATGCAGCTTTTTACTTCACAAGACTTTAATTGGTGGACTGCATGTGATTATGATTTTTTTATTAGCTGTTTGGACTCTCGTTCCGACGGCACCCATTCACTGCAGAAGATCCGTTAGTGAGCAAGTGATGTAATGCTAAATTTCTCCAAATCTGTTCCGATGAAGAAACAAACTCATCTACGTCTTGGATGGCCTACGGATGAGTACATTTTCAGCAAATTTAAATTTTGGGTGAATTATTCCTTTAAAGGTCACCATTGCTCATTTGTTGTTGCTAATTATCTTCATGTTGTTGTTCATGTCATTGATTCATTAAACCAATAAATGTCCCAATCAAGCTATTGAACCAACCCTGTTGTCTTATTAATCTATTAAATAACTGCTGCCAGGAGTATTGAATTCATTCATATGATTTCATTAGTGGCGGTTATGCAGCCCGGCCTGACATGCTGTCCATTGCTTCCTGCAGCAGATAAACCAGGATCTGAACATCCAGCTACTGAAAGATGGCTACAGGCTGGATGAGATCCCTGATGATGAAGACCTGGACCTCATACCACCCAAATCCGTTAACTCAACCTGCATGTGCTGCCAAGCCACCTCCGCCACTGCTTGTCAAATCCAGTAAATCTGTCACCTTTTCCCCTCCCTGTGCTCCCTCCCTCTCTTCCCCTCCCTCGTTCCCTTTCATAACCTCAGATAAGACATCTAATCAATATTACAGAGGGAAATGTACAGTAAACGTTACGATGAACATGGTGTACAGGAATATGTGAACACACACACACACACAAAACACATTACATGCGCTAATGCACACACATAGACACATTTACTCTTAACATATGATTATTAACATGACTATTATTGGTTGCTTCCTCCTATGGCAGGATATGCATTGTTTGCTAATACGCTAGGAGAGTCTGCTCACTTTCACCTCCTAGCTGGCATTGTGTTATACTGTACAAGTGAACGTAGAACAAATAAAGCATTCAGATGGCTTTAACTGTGAATTAAAAACAACTTGATGTTACAGAGAGTTTGAAATAGCTTATCCACTGAATTCTCTGCTTTCATGTTGCACTCGTTGCATTAACGTTGTCGTTATGGTAAGATTTGATTTCCGTACGGATCTGGTTGGATGTTTATTGTTCGTGGCTGCTATTGAGGCTATACTTGGATTCGTTTCTGTTGAACATTTTGCATGTTGGTGCATTCGTACTGCAGCGCTAACAGTAGCCTTGTCTGGCATGCACCTGGGCATCACACTTTTTGTTTACTCTTGATATCTCACACACGTTTATTTAATTGAATCACGTTTGAAGCTACGCTGGATTTGAGATGCGAATGAGTCATGAACGAAAAGGGAAAACAGCAACCCTTTTTTATTTGATTGGTCAAGGTCTAGATATTTGTTATTTTCACAGTAACCTCTCACAACAGATGATAAAATGATTACATGAAGACCTTTCTGTCTCTCAAAGCAGTTTTTCAAAGGTCAGAAATCACTGGGTATGATTTAATAACTGTTATGACATTTTGGAAATGCAGTTTCATTTCTTGGACACAATGACCAAACATATTAGATATTTACACTTCCTGTAAGCTTCTTAAAATAAGTATTGTTTTATTCTGGAAGATGTTCAGATTTCAAAGACTTGAAGGCACCAAAGAATGTTTATGCTCCTTGTTGGAAGCTATGTTCATTTTAATTTAGCATTTTATATGCATACCACCGATCAGGATACATCACTGCATTTCATGAAAATCAGTTGTGGGCTGTTTAAAAGCACTGTTTTCTGCTGGTCTTTGGAACTAAACCTAGAATGTTAATGTTGCTAAATTGATCAAATCCCTGACATTCATTATTGTTATTATTAAAAATGATTCAAGCTGTCAATGATGAACCTGCACTGTTCATCTTCACATGAAATCCTTTTACAGATTTTTCCCTTCAATTCAGCTTTGAAAGCCAAACGCATTTTATGTGTTATCTTTACACTCTACTGTCTTGATCAAGAAACTGATTTCATTCGAACTGCTCATATTCACTCTTTAGTGCGTTTTAACTATGACTAAAATAGTGTAATGACCTGATGTATTCAATTCAAAGCGTAATCAAAGGTGAGCGTTTGTTGGACAAAAGCTGTGTTTTTATGTTATAAATATGTTAATTATGTGAGAAAGTCCATTTATGTATTAACAATGTTGTCATTGGTTTCAGTGATATCAATAAAAGCAGACCTGAATGAACTTTTCTTTGTTTTAATTAATCCTCTACATACATAATTTATAGGTTATGAAAGCAGTTGAATGTTGCATAAATGATACTGATGGAAAAGTACAGCACGTGTGTGTACAACGCTAGTGGCTCAAGGTCTGTAAGACACAGATATACACATCACAACACTTGCATTCACACTACACACAACTGAGAAGAGTTTTGTAAATTACAGCAAAGTACTTCTCAGTAACTTGCTAGTTACATTCTGCAATCTAAGAGTTCTTAAGCTCAAAACAAGGCACAGGTTGAGCATTTTTACAATGACAGTATGTTTCAAATAACCTGCTTCTTGAATTCAGGCTCACAACCTACTAAACATATGGAACATCTGAACAATAAATCAGCACAGATACTATGTAACAATAAAAGCCAAACATCTGTTGATCTGTTATCATAATATAAAAATCGATACAATTGTTATTGAATAAAGATCCAATAGATGCATTGATTGTTGATTCACATGTAAAATTCAGTTTGTGCTTGTGTCTTTTAAAGCACAATGGCTGATCATTACGGTAGATTCAAACTAAATCTAGATTCAAATTACATTGAGTATTTCAAGTAAACAGCTGAACAGTGGAAAGACTTCTGAAGTCAACATGTATGAAAATGAAAAACCCATTCACAAAACTAATAAAAGTCTGTTACTCAAGTTCACTGATTGATTGTAAATACTACAGGCTGCTAATAAAACCATAGGTAGTGGGAGAAATATACAATCTTTGTTCTGTCTTTTTCAGCTGTGCAGTCATGGATCTAAGGCACAGCTTTTAGTTTGTGTTTTCCCATAACACACCTATAGATGGCGGTGCTACACTATTAGTGAGTGAACTTCTGTTAAATCTCACTACATCACTTGTGAAGGCTGATAAAAAAAGTTTCAAAAAGAAATAATAAAAGTGTTCTGAATAAAGAGAATTTTCAATGCTGTACATTAAATAAGTTACATTCTTTTGCATAACTGAATAGAATATGCAAATAAGTACGATTGTTAAAAAAACCACAAAAGCTTGTTTGTGTGCGTAAAACCTCACACACTGCAAAGTTAATCTCATAAGTACCCATCTGTTTTAATATCATACAAATACCATCTTCAACACTGAAGTCAACCGCTGTCCCCGTAAACAACACAAAAGAACCAAAAACATTCATAGCGATTATTTTAAAACCCACTTCTAATAACTGGACCACTGCAAAATTTGACACTTCAAAGTGATCAATAAAATGTGTCTTGGTTTCAGCACGCATAATATAGTTTTATTGTTCAGAATATGTTCACTTCCCTTTGTCACAGTGGGTGTCTAATAAATCCCCTGGCTCCTCTGTATTGAAATCAATGTCATATTTGTGATATGTGATATAAATACCCCTATATATTTGAAATAATCCTCAGAGTAAATGTTCATTGTTTCTGCCTAAATCTGATTATTTCTGTCCGTTCCATTGAGAGGTCCATGGAGAACTCCAGCACAGCATATTTTGTATGTCTCCATTATGTAACACCTGAAGCTCCAAGATCTGAGCCTCAGGAAAGAGAGACATTCAAAATGTGCAGTGGGGGAGTCACGTGGTTGCTAAAACACCAGCAGACACGTGATCGCTGGAGCCAGAGGACGATGTGGACGTTGAAGAGTGTCGTCTTCGCCCGGCGGGACCCTGGAGCATGCTGGGGTGGAAGCCGACGTGTCTGCGGGCGTGCTTCGTGAGGTGATCGCTTCGCATGAAGCATTTGTCGCAGAGCGGGCACATGAAGCGCTTCTCCCCGGTGTGCGTGCGAAAATGTCGCGTCAGTTCATCCGACCGCGAGAATTTCTTTGCGCAGCCTGGCCAGGTACATTGAAAGGGCCTCTCACCTAAACACACACACACACACACACACAAAACGGAGAGAGAAATTTAAGACTGTTGTTATTTCAGCCTCAACTGAGAAAGACAGCCAGCGGCAAAAAAACAAAACAAAACAAAAAACAATCGGCACATCTAGATTTTTCCCATGCATGTAAGCACCTTCACCGGCGTTTTGGCAACTTGTTCGGTTTGCGTCTGTGATGTCAAAACCGAAGAAAACGCTGATTTTTGATAGGCCTAGGTGGCGGGGGATGTGAACGCACTCACTGTCTGTGCGGGGTTGCGCTTGGCTTCAGTGCTGCACCACGTGCCCAATGTTTACAACTGTGGAATCAGGAGGTGTGTGCATCGCGTCACCGTTGCGTTGTTAGGCTATTTTAGTGCGTGTCGCATTGAAGTATGCGGATCATCAGGGACCAGCGGCCATAATATACTGAGATTAGACTAATTATAGAATAGAATAAAATGGGACAGTATAGAACAGACATTTAATTCATGATGCATAAACCAGAAGGCAGTTTAAAAAGTAGTTTGAGACAATTTGAAATGACACCTGGCTACTTCTAGCATTTTTTCCACACGATTACGCAATTTTTTGATCACACGGTGTCCTGCGTAACAGTGTGGACTAAGCAACATGTTTGCTCACACTTTAGATTAGTAACAGTGTGTACTGTTCCGCCCTCGTGTGTACCCATGAGCGCTCCGCCTGCGGTTACACCCACCGTAACATGAGTGGCAGTTCCCAAAGCCGAACCGTTCCCCAGAACAGGCGTAATAACAGACTGCGTGCCAGATACACGAACAATCCGAGTCGAATCACCGCTGTTAGTTGATTTACTGTACACATAAGCATTTTTGTTTTTCTTACCGGTGTGTACTCTGAAGTGCGCCTTAAGGTGGGACGATTTGCCATATATTTTCCCACAGCCAGCATAGGGACAGCAGTGTCTCTTCTCAGCGGATGCACGCAGTCTGTCGCGGTTCCGTGTCCTTTTCCCCCTGCTCGCGCTCTGTCTGCATTTCTCCCGGTTTTCCTTCACGCCGGGTGGATTGTTCGCATCACTGTTCACTATGCATTTGCCGCTGATGCCGCTCGGGATACACTGATTTAAGTCCAGCAGAATCATTGCGACCATTAACAGAGTCCGGCTCTCTTGACTTTCTTCAGATCCCTCCTCGCCGGCTAGTTTGTCTGAGCGGTCACCGTTTGAGACCGGCCCCAAGGACCTTGCTGCAGTATCAGCGTCCGTCATTGTAGTTAGCCTACCCAAAATGTCCAAATGGAAATGGAGAAATGAGTTGCTACTGTAACTTAAACACACTAAAACTTAGGGAGCGGGATTCTCATCATATGCGCATCGGGATACAGATGACTCCGGAAAACGTGGCTTCACGCCTAACGTTACACGTGTCTTTCCCAATGTGACTGGGATGATTACTGTTCCAAGCGAAGAATAAAAGCGTGTGTCGCTTTCGTCTACACTCACAAGTTATCGAATAAACATCCAGGTGCTTGTTCTCAATATTATTTCAAATACAATAGAAAGCGTGGAACTTTGCGTACTGTCATTCCCTTCTATCTTCATAAGTGCGTCAACTCTGTGCCGCTGTCATCTCATCTGAAAGATCTTCTCATCTGAAAGAAACTACTTCGCGGAATCCCAAGGTGTCATCATAAAACTCGTCGCTGATTGGACACTGGGGTCCAAGAGCGACGCTTTGAATGCAGTACCAGAAATCACCGAGGTAGCATGAGATTGAGGGGTCATGGATCCAATAGTCTTCTGAGTATCAGATGAGGGGCGTGCTAACATAACAGGAACTAAGAGTAGTAGCATGCCCTCCTCCAGCACCGGTGCACTCAATGCACTGGCTGACATAGTTGTTTCTAAAAAAAGTAGTAGACGTTTGCATTTATAAGAATAAGCATTTACAGATTTATGTAGTCACTGGATGTAAAAACAACAGTGTGAGTCAGTTTCACATTGTATTAACAGACACCATGCAGTGAAAAATATATTAACATAAGCATAAAATATAGAATTCAGTAAATACTGTAAATCACATAACAGAGGTAGACATTGCACCCAAAGGAGCTTTTTCATTTGTAAAAAGAGGATTTTTAATGAATATATTA